GCTCTTTTTCTATGCTGCTTCTTCAATTTTTTAATGTTTTTATCTTTTTTTTTTTTTACAAATAGTTTATTGTCAAGTTGGTTTCCATATAACACCCAGTGTTCATCCCCACAAGTGCCCCCCTCCATGCCCATCTCCCCCCTCCTCCCCACACCCATCAGTCCTCAGTTTGTTCTCAACATTCAAGAGTCTCTCATGGTTTGCCTCTCTCCCTTTCCCCCACCATTTCCCCCCTTCTTCTCCCCCTCGTTCCTCAGATAAGTTCCTCCTAATCCTCCTACACGTGTAAACATATGATATTTGTCCTTCTCTGCCTGACTTATTTCGCTCAGCATAACACCCTCAAGGTCCATCCATGTTGCTACACATGGCCAGATGTCATTCTTTCTCATTGCCATGTAGTATTCCATGGTATAGATAAACCACATCTTCTTGATCCATTCGTCCGTTGATGGACACTTGGGCTCTTTCCATGTTTTAGCTATTGTGGAGAGTGCTGCTATGAACATTGGGGTCCATGTGCCCCTATGCATCAGCACTCCTGTATCCCTTGGGTAAATTCCTAGCAGTGCTATTGCTGAGTCATAGGGAGTTGTATTGTTAATTTTTTGAGGAACTTCCACACTGTTTTCCAGAGGGGCTGCACCAGTTTACATTCTCACCAACAGTGTAGGAGGGTGCCCGTTTCTCCACATCCTCGCCAGCATCTAGAGTCCTCTGATTTGCTCATTTTAGCCACTCTGACTGGCGTGTTTTTATCTTATATGAGAGAGAGAGAGAGAGAGAGAGAGAGAGAGAGAAATGGCCAGAATGTGAGCAGGAGCCGGGCACAGAGACAGAGACAGAATCTGAAGCGGGCTCCAGGCCTCAAGCTGTGAGCACAGAGCCTGATGCGGGGCTCAAACCCACAAGCAGTGAGATCATGACCTCAGTCAAAGTCAGTTGCTCAACTGACTGAGCCACCCAGGTGACCCCCACCCCATGCTGCTGCTTCAGTGAGAGGCCTACCTCCATCTCTGTTGGACATAGGAATTCCTGAAGCCATCTGTTTCTTGTAACTGGTTAATTTACTCAAAGCAGCTTGGCTTGGCTATTATTTGATCTAATGGAACTGTGCTCTACTCACGGGGAGAAAAATGAAGACAGGGGATTCTTGCAAAGAAGCCACACTAATGAACTTGAGGCTCCTTTCTGCATTGACATATATAAATGAGTACTGCAGACATCTCTGTACAATACTATCGTAATGCCTTTTTAATTCTATATGTTTTAGTGCCAATAAAAATGGTGACTTGCACATCCAGGGTGAAACGTTTACTTCTGAGTTTATGGATAAAAAGAAGCTTCAGGGGCTACTGGGTGACTCAGTCACATAGGCATTTGACTATTGATTTCAGTGCAGGTCATTATCTCAAGGTCATGAGATGAAGCCCCACATTGGGATCCATGCTGACCTTGGACCCTGCTTGGGATTCTCTCTCTTCTCTCTCTGCTCCTCCCCCTGCTTGTGCCCTCTCTATCAAAATAAAGAAATACACATGAAAAAAAAGTAGCTTCATAAAGCCTGACCCCAGACTTCTGATTGCCCCTCCTCATTATCTCTCACGTGTCGGCACAGGGAGGCTGTGATCTCTGAGACAGAGAAAGGGAAGGCAGTTCAATCATAAACTCTTCCCAGGTCTGTTTCAGCTCTAATGTTCTAGAACTCTGCTCCTTCTAGACCAGGAGCTCTGTTAAATTTATTAACCTGGGGATTCTTGAGCCCAGAAGGTAATGTTTCCTGAACTGGGTCTACATACTTAAGCAACATAAAAATAATTCTGGGGGTTTGTGAGTCCTCTAGGAGGCTCTATCGAGTCTTTGGTGATTACATAAGAATATGTTCACTAAAACATCTGGTATACAGAGGGTACTCGGTGCACACTCATTCCTCTTTCCTGCCAGATTTTTTTGTAGTGGAAAATTCTTTTGCTCTTCATCTCAGGGAGATATCTCTCCTCCTCCAGCCTTTGTCTGCCTCAAGTCCTGCAGATGCTGGTAGAAGAATTTTACAAAGGAGTTGGGATCCGGAACAGGACATTTTTGAGAAGGTCACTGCATTAAATTAATGGAAGTAAAGCTGATCCCTGAAGTGACACAGCCGCCAAACACCTTTTCTCTAAACTTGCCACGATGGTGCCCCATAAATTTTGATTGACATTGAAATACATAATGCAATATCCTGTTTTCTTTTAAATGTATAGCATATGGAGAAAGCCAGGTGGATCATGGTTTCCTGCATGGCTTTGGAAGGCAAGCCACGATGCAGTTGAAATGTCCTGTGCGGATTGGGGCTCAATGAATCCTCCTCGAAGCCTGCACATGTCATGTGTTAGCTCATCGAATCCTCTCAAACCTCCCATGAGTGAAGTGATATACCTCCCTTTCACAGACGAGGAATCTGAGGCTGGAGAGCTTTGCTAGCCTGCCTTACAAGGAGATGCTGTAGTAGTATGGTAGGAGCCCATCCTTCAGGCTCACACAGACTTGGGATCTGTCCTGACTTTCCCACTCACTAATCCTGCAACCTTGGATGGTTCCTTAACCTCACAGCCTTCAACTGTCCTCATCAGTAAAACGGGACAATGGTAATATCTCCCTGTAACAGAGGTCCTTTCTTCTCTAGAATCAAAATAGTGATTTTAGATGTACAATGGCCACCAAGGTTACAGACTGTGTTTCTCACCTTCCTTTGCAGGTAGGTGTGGCCTGTGGCAACATCTCAGCAAATGCAATGAGAGCAAATAGAAAGAACATTTTCCAAGTACCTGTCCTTAAGAGGCAGTCCGTGTGTTCACCGCTGATGCTGTTTTTCTCTCCTCTTCCTTTTTTCTCTTCATTTTCCTTTTTCCCTTGTCTTGCCTGTTGGCTGGAATGTAGTCATGATGGCTGGAACTGAAGTAGCCATTTTGGACTGAGCAGATGGGTCTCTGACATGCGCAATGTCATAGAAATCCCAGATACTGGTCTTGAGATTCAGATATGAGCAAAAAATAAAATTCTCTCTTAAGTCTCTGTAATTTTAGGTCTTGTTAAGTCAAATCAAATCCTGATACATTTGCTCATAGAAATAGTATGAGATTAAATGAGATATATAGGTGAAATATTTATTAAACCCCCAATAAATGCTACCTTTTGTTGTTATTGCTTATATTACTACTACTATTACTTATTATTATTATTATTAATTATTACTTCAGCCCACCCAGCTACTGGATGACCAATCTGGAATTCTGTCCTGTGGCTATTGCATATCAAAGCCATTACATTGTATAGGCTGATTATTACTAACGGTGGAAGATCAAGGAGACATCAAGGAATAGTCAGTATTGTTACCCTCTGGCTTGGGTTTATACCCTAGATCTGACCCCTAGTAGCTAGCTGGGTGTTCTCACCACCCCAGGCACTGGGCATACTAGTTCTCTGTGCCCTTCAGGGACCTGTGAGGATGAGCCCCGTTCCTAAATTGGCCCAGGAGTTATGGGCCGTACTTGCCTCTATTGGCTACAGATGGCTGCTCACAACCAGGAAGATCTGAGCAAGGGGCATGAAAAGCAAGACAGGAAATATTATTGCTGATGTTGAGTGAGCCCTTATTCTGTTCTGGGCAGTGTTCTGAAAAGATTTACCATCTGCTTTATTTAAGCCCAGACATCTGCATTAGGTAGATACTTTACAGATGGGGAAACAGAGGCAGAGAGAGGCTGAGTGACATTCTCAAGGGCACACAGCATAACAGGCAGAGCCAGAGTTCAGACAGGCAACTTGGCTCAAGGGTTTTTCACCTTGCCCTGAACAAAGGGGCTTTCACACATTTCCTGTTTCATGGGCAGTGTAGCTTCTGTGTCATGCAAACATTCTTGGATTCCTTGACTTATCTGGAGGAAGTTGGTCTGAGCTGGGGCGGCAAAAAGCCATCTGGAGGGCAGTGAAAAGGAAGCTCAGAAGGGAAGAGAAAACTAGGGGTCTTGTCTTAATCCCCCCATGGGTCTAGTTGCCTGAGTTGGTGTTGTAGTTAGGATCCCCCACTGCAAAGCCTGGGGTTTATCCCGATCATGATATCTGAGCGCTCCCAGGGGAGACCCACTTCTTTGTCTGGAGGACATGATGGGTTTCTGTGCACCTGTTAACACAAGTGCAAGGAAGCCCAGCTGCTGTCTTCTCCAGCCTCCTCTGTGCCCTCACCTCTCCCTCTGCTCTTCCCTATCCACCTGCCTCCTCGTTGCTGACGGCTGTCTGGAAGGGGACGTGGTGTGGGAATTCTATTTCAGAGACTTCTGTCATTCTCTGGGGCCAGCTCAGAATTTTCCAGTGATGGAAAAAAAAAAAAAAAAAAATATATATATATATATATATATATATCAGATGAGACCACTTTCATGCTTAAAACCATCCAATGGCTTCCCAGTAATTAGAGTAAAATTTGAAATCATTTCTTTGGTCCAAAAGACCCAAGTAATCTACCACCTGATTGTTTTTCTGACCTGGTTTCTTACCACTCTTCCCCTTATTCTTTTCCATGGCAGCTATGCTATGCGCCTCAGGGCCTTTGTATTTGTAGTAGCCTCTGTCTGGAATGTTCTCCTTCTCATCATTCATTCTCAGCTTAAATGAAGTGTTAGGTACACCTCTGCTGATCAGCCTCCCTAACCTGGTCATTGTATTCTGCTGTCGTCCCTCCTCATTGATTTTATGAATATTTAGAATAAACTGTACTGATTTTGTTAACTTATTTGCTCATTTCATTACTGTCTGTCTCTTTAGCCAGAAAGGCAGCTCCAGGAGGGGCAAGGACCTTGCAGGGTGGAGAGGATAACGCTCATCTCTTAAAAAATGCTGTACAGATGTGTGTGAATTACCTATCACACAGTCCATGCTTTGTAAATGACATCTTCCTGTGTAATTGTGTTCAAAATCTAACCTTTCATGTTTTATTTTATTTTCCATGTTTTATCTCGCAGACTTAAAGACTGCCCAAAGATAGGGAAGGCATTCACAAAAGCGTTTCTTTCTAAGGACCCTTGCAACAGTACGGAACAGGACTATCAGCCACTAATGGAGCTGACAAATCAAACTGTACCTTGTGACAAGGTAACGGGATTCAGTTACTGATTTTTTTTTTTTTTTGAGAAGAAGGTGAAAAATTATTAGAGTGTAAAGCTCTCTTTACAAAGAAGGGACATTTGAAAGTGAGTGCCCTGAGTTATTGATTTTTTTTAAGTTTCTTTATTTACTTGTTTATCTACTTATTTATTTAGAGAACCAGTGTGGGGAGGGGTGCAGAGAGAGAGGGAAGGAGGATCTGCAGTGGGCTCTGTACTGACAGCAAAAAGCGTGATGTGGGGCCCAGACTCATGAACCATGAGATCATGAGCCAAAGTCAGATGCTTAATTGAGTGAGCCACCCATGCACTCTGAGTTATTGAGTTTTGAAACCGAGGATACTCTCTCTCTCTCACAAATAAATGTAAAGAAACATTAAAAATTTTTTTAAAAAAATGATTCAGATTCTGTATCTCCCTCTCTCTCTCTGACCTTCCCCTGCTCACACTGTCTCTCTCTCTCTCACACAAATAAATTAAAAAATTAAAAATAAAATAAAATAAAACTGAGGATAAAAGGGGCTGGTGGCTCAGTTGGTTAAACATCCAACTCTTGATTTCAGCTCACGTCATAATCTCACAGTTCATGAGACTGAGCCCCACATCAGGCTCTGTGCTGTCAGCTTGAGATTCTCTCTCTTCTTCTCTCTATGCTTCTTACCTGTACACGTGTACTTACTATCTCAAAATAAATAAACAAAACAAAACAAAACAGGATAAAAAAGAAGAGGTTACAGGACCAAATTTTGACCAGGACTAGGGAGGAGGAAGATCTGGAGGTTAGGGTGTATGTGTGGTTCACCAAGATGGAGTCTGGAGATTTTGCGGGACCTGGATATCATCAGGGTTTAGGACATCTGAGGAAGGAAGGTAAAAGAGACCCGGGGACAGGGAAGGAGGAAGGTGACATGGCCAAAATTCAGGCAAAATGAACCTATAGGAAACCCAACCCAATCCAAACAAAAATGACCCAACTTTATATAATTGCAGAACTCTCCCCTGACCTCTGATGATGACGATGATAATTCACAGCCACGCTGCAGAATAATCAGCACCCCCATTTTACCAGTGAGAAAACTGAGGCGCGGTGAGGTTGGGTGGTCAGTGACTGCTCATGATTGATGGCCTTGAAAGTGACCAGTTGAAATGTTAGTCAGCTGAGATTTGGAGCCAGAGAGGCCTAGGGTTTATACGTTGCTTGTACTGGAAGAGTTGTGGAAGGGCATACAGCTTTCTTCAAGTCAACATTTAAGGTGAAAAGTCAGTGTACCCCAAATCATCTTTGTGTAGCCTCTGAGCCAGGCACATACTACAGCCACTCACATCTGTGGAGAGCTAAGAGTTATTCCAGAGCTCCGGCCAGGTGCACCAACAGGGGCCTTTGCGGAAGAGCTGCTTGGTAAATCACCCCCAATGATCCATAAGTCGGCTGCAGACACAGGACTAAGCACTTTATTTGCAATTGTCTCATTTCATCTCAAGTCCTCAGGTTCCTTACAGTCATTATCGTACCATTTTACAGATGGGGAAAGTGAGGCTTAGTGATGCTGTCGCTACCCAGGCTCAGACATCTGTAAGTAGTGATGCTAGTTTCACAGGGCAGCGTGCCTCTGGGGCCCACGCTTAAAACCACACCCTCCACTGCTTCCTATCAGAAAAGAGTAGAGGGGCACCTGGGTGGCCCAGTAGGTAAACCTTGGACTCTTGATTTCAGCTCAGGTCATGATTGCACAATTCATGAGATGAAGCCCAGAGTTGGGTTTTGGGCTGACAGTGCAGAGTCTGCTTGGGATTCTCTCTCCCTGTCTCTCTTCCTCCCTCTGCCCCTCACCCCCTCCAAAAGTAAATAAATAAACTTAAAAAAAAAGAAGGAATATATCCACAAGCTGAAGATTGTTCTGAAATGTGACCTTCTGTACCTTTATAAGGGACCCTGAAAAAAGTTCACTGTATTCTTTTCTTTCCTTCCTTTTTCTTTGTGGGAACAGAAGAGATTTGGGGAAGGAAATGGGATTCTGGAGCCCTTTAAGAAACAAAGAGCACTTTTCCCAGGAAATAGCATGTGGACACATTGTTCTGCAGATGACTTCAGGAATTTCCTAATGTCTCCTCCAGATGTGCTCCGGTTCTGTGTTTATCATAAGATTCTGATCAGTTGGCTTTCAGACTTTTTTTTACTGCCACTAAAAATAATAATGCATTTTAAACTGTGACTTAGAAAACACACATACACACATACACACGTGCACATACGCACCCGCCATCTGTGTTCTCAATCTCACACACAGAACACAGTGATGCACTCAGCAACACTCACTTTTACTCTGTGGGTTTTACTCCGATATTTTCTTTTTTCTTTTTTTTCTTTCTTTTTTTTTTTTTTTTTTTTTTT